AACATAGATACAAATATATAGATAAATATATATATATAAATATGTATATTCTTCTAACTATTCTCAAACTCTTTTCCAAGGTCCCCTACATATAAACACATATAAATTAATTTCACCTAATTGAAGTATATGCTCCCAATGTTCTAGTTTCAAAAGACAATGATCCCACCCTCCCAATGAGCCCAAAGCCTTTTTGGCAAACAACTATTTAAGAGTTTCCATTTCCCTCAGCCCAGAGGCATTGCTGCTAACTCAGTTTGCTCAGCTATAATCGTTAACAAAAAAAGGTTCTTCAGGGAAAAACAAAATGAAGACTACGAAATACATTAACAATTCGAGGAGACCAGGGAAAAGGAGGAAGTAAGAGTTTTGTTTTGTCTTAATGTACAGTAAAGGAAATGACAGTCCTTTCAAGGATGGCCAGAAAGATCATGAATTTTGGGGGGCATCATCACAAATATTCCAACGTGAGTTTTTTTTTTTTCAGATTATCCCTTGGCAATGAAAAAAAAGCATAGAATGTATACATAGCGATATAAGATACACTGTAGGGAAAAGTGCACTGAAAAGTAACTTAAATCTTTGTCCTCGTGATGGAAAAGTCTCTTAAGAATGACGACGACACCAACGGTACCTTTGCAGACCCCGTGGTCAGGGTAGAAGCCCTCTCCGCAGCTGGACAGGCAGCGGCCTTGGCGCAGAGCCCGGGGCTGGATGCAGGCTGTGCAGTGTGAGCCCGTGGGTCCGGAGCAGCCGGCACATGAATTATGACAAGCTGAGGAGGACAGTGAGGGGGACACCATGGAACCCAAGTGAACAGGGAGCCTACCTCTCAGCTGGGCTCCTTATGTATCAGGAAGCCCCTTCTGTGTCGCTCTCAATCCCCTTCAGCTGTCATACCAAATCAGGCGGAAAGATGTTTTAGGAAGTGGTTATATACCCAAAACTGCCCGCGGTGACCCTTTACCCATCTTTTATCCATGTTCTATTATTTATCAGCTACCGTTGATGCGCTGTTTCCATTAAGGGGTTTATACACATTGCTGCATTTAATCTTCATAGCAATTACGAGGTTTTGCCGATGAGAAAACTGAGGTCTTGGGAAGTTAAAAAATTTACCCAAGATCATAGAGCTAATGAGTAGCAGTGCTGGGATTTAGCCCTAGGTCTGTCTGAACCTAAAACCCCCTACCTGAATAGGGAAGAGTGAAAAGTTTCTGTGTCTGAAGTTCTGGAAGCACTGGAATTTTGGCTGGCTTGTCCACTAATTTATCTGTGCCCTTAGCCAAGGCAAGGTTTCTCCAGGCCTAGGCTCCATGGCAAATGCATTGTGAGGTTGGACTAAATGATCACTTAAGATACTTCGAGGTCTGACATTATAGGATTTTAAGGAAGAATCATATTAAACAATCTTTACATATGACAATGTCAGGCATGCATCTCTGCTGCTTTAGTCCTGGGTGGTAACAGTGGGACATCTCTGACTCTGATTTACAAATGGTACCATGGCCTGTCCTAAGGGACAGGATTGAGATACTAAAGACTCCAGAAAACAACAGGCAGGAGCTGGGAGAGGGGAGTGTGGAAGTAGGATGAGACTCTTGGGGGCAGGATGTTGCGGAAGAGGGATAAACACTGGGCCAGTAAAGGGGTTGGCATACAGAAAGGAGGTTGCTGAGACAAGGCTGTGGGACAGATCGAAACATTCTGCCACAAACCCACACTATAGGTGCAAGTGAGAACACGTATGTTTATTTTGGAGGAGAGGGGCAGCAGGAAGTTCCCCGAGTTGTCTCGAAGGAAAGACACAAGTCAAGCATATGTAAGTAGAAGCTTACAAAGTCTCAAATGGGAATGTTTCATAGTTAAAGTTGTATAAATCTGAAAGGAACAATACATAAATAGCACATAAGACCAAATTTTCAATACATACAGACTTGGGCCTTACAAGCTGTCAAACTTGGTTTATTTTATATTTTATTTTTGTGATGTGTTGTCGTTGCCGATATATGGGCTTGTGCCATCTAAGAAATGATTCTGTCATACCTACAACCTAAGTTAGTGACCGTTTATTAGTACACAAGGACTATATGAAGATCTTAAAGATGTTCTTCACACTGAAAAGGACCAAATGATCCCTAATGAGGATTGATATGCATAAGTCTTTTACTTAATCACTCAAGTCCCACAGCATCCACCCACTCCCATACCAAATACACACAGGTTCTAGAATGAAAATGCTATTCCTTTTAATTTGACATCTTCTCATCATACACACTAATTCTTAAGTGAGCAGCATATAGCACCAAGTATTGTCAAATATGTCAAATGCATTTTGATGATGACGATGATGACAACAATGATTACCCACGTCTTACCTCTGCATCTGCCAGTGGCCTCAACATAGTACCCATCAGGGCATTCAGCAATGCATTTCCCATCATGCAACACTGTCTTCTCAGCACAGGTAAGACACCTGGGACTATTGGGACCACAACTCTTACAGGATTCGTCACAAGCTAAGGGGGAGGAAACCCACCAGAGAAAGTCAATAATGAGCAAAGGGAGCAGAGAAGTCTACTCTGTACAATGTCCACAGTTGGTATCAACATGGTAATCACATTGTCTGGCTGCTCAGCTGAGTTCTGTTTCCTTGATTCCAACATTTCAAAGTACTCTGTACTTTCTGTTTTCACAGCTGAAGGAGAATCAGATAATTATTCATTGAACCAAGCATAACAAATACTCTGAGGCACACCCACCAGCATATCCAATATAATATAGGGTTTAAAGTCAAAATGGGCTTGGGGGTAGGGATGCCAGTCCAACAGGCATTGAAGATATTCTCAAACTCATTAATAATCAGAAAAATGCAAATAAAATGGGCTGTCCCGGTATACCTATTAACCAGAAAAAAAAATCTGAAGCTTGATAATGCCAAATGGTGGCAAGGACGTGGAGATGAGACAAGCTTCACACTTGAGAGTATGGATGCTGGTGAGCTACCTGGCACTACTTAGTCAAATAAAGAATATGGAAAGTTAAGAAACCAACAATTCTGCTCCCAGATTACCCATCCCAGGGAACCTTCCACAGAGGTTCATAAAGGGACATGTTTGAGGCTGTTCACTGGTGTTCTCTAGAGACAGCATAGGGATGGAGGGAACTGGGGAGTCTGTCATGAACAGTGGATGGGTGAGCTATGGGAGATGCAGCCCAGGGAGTACTATGCAGCAGTGAGAAGCAAAGAGCTAGATGATATAGAAACACAGGTGGTTCAAACCATAATGCTGAATGAAAAAAGAACAACGTGAACTCTGTAACACATCATTTAAGAAAAAAAAAGGTATGTACACTCAAAAGAATACCCATTTTACATGAGCCCATAAAAACAAAAAGATAAAAAAAAAATTAAAGTAGGGGTGCCTGGGTGGTTCAGTTGGTTGAGTGTCTGACTCTTGGTTTCGGCTCAGGTCATGATCTCAGGGTGGTGAGCTGGAGCTCTGTGTCAGTCTCCATGCTCAGCACAGAGTCTGCTTAAGATTCTTTCTCCCTCTCCCTCTTCCTCTGCCCCTCCCCTGCTCGCACACACATGCATGCACTCTGTAAATAAAGTCTTAAAAAAATTGAAATAGCTGCCTTGGTGAGGAAGGGAAATGCATATAAAAGGAAGGAAAGAGAGAAAAAAGGAGAGGAGGAAGGAAGAGAGAGAATGGCTAACAGAAACCTCGGAGCTTATTTTGATTTATTATGTTAGCTAGAGTCAGAAAAGCCCTTCATAATAGCACAAGTACTTAAGAGACTAAAGAATGAGGAGGTTTTTGTCCTTTGAATTTCCCCACCCTTTATATCTAACATTTGTAAAACTCAAAGCATGAACCGCCAATGAACTTGGTTGCTGTAAATTCTTTCAGCCAGGGCATACCACCGTGTATGACAGGTTGTGCTGGATTTTTCTCAGCACTTGACTTTGAGATTTCTAGAGATACAGGCCTCTCAGTTATAAATGATTAAACCAACACCAGCCAGTCTTTATCTTGAATAGCACTAAATTGAACTGGAAATAAGTCAGCATTATCAGCATCAGACGTTTTAATTAACATTCTGATACCAATCAGTGACTTGGTTCACTGATGTTTTAGGAAATATTTATATGAACACTTCTGAAGGCATCTAATACAAACTTAGAGAGCTCTAAGAATTTTATGAGAAGTGTAAACTCCCGTCTTTATCCAAAGGTCTTCGGGTCGATGTCAATGGTATCACAAAGTCTTGCATCATGCTAAGCACACGGCAGGCGTTCAGCAATTACTCGCTGATCAATTGATTCCTTGGCTGACTTTCAGCAATGGCCCATCCTCTTGTCTGGAAGATTTTTTTTTTTCTGATGCTTTGTTTCAAAATGTATACAGATAGCATTTCAGATGTATACTCTCTCCCTAAGCCACCTGTTCAGTGGTTTTT